CAAGCTTGAATGGTACAAAGTTTTATACCACCATTCAGTCGTAGCTAACCATTTGGCCTAAGTCTTCGGTTGTTGATTAGTCATGCATCATAGGTAGATTTCCAGATACTGATTGAGTCTTTCTGTTTGTCCATTAGTCTGGGGGTGTTATGTGGTACTGAAGAGCAAATTTCTCCCTACTGCATTCATTAGTTCCTTTTAGAATAAACTGGTAAATATTTTATCTCGATCAGTTACTATGACTTGTGGAACCCCGTGTAGCTTGTGTACCATCTCCATGAAACTTCGGGCTACTCCGGTTGCAGTGAAGGGATGTCGTAAGGGAATGAAATGCCCATACTTGGTGAAACGGTCCATTACCACTAATATAACGTCCTTGCCTTCTGATTTGGGCAATTGTTCAATGAAGTCCATAGATATGTGGGTCCAGGCGTGTGGTAGAACAAGTAATGATTGCAGTAATCCGGGAATGAGAACTCGTTCTATTTTGCAGCGTTGACAGATATCGCATTATTGGATCCACTGTAAAATTTGTTTCTTCATATTTGGCCGATAGAAGTGTTGTTTGACCCTTTCATAAGTAGCTCGAACTCAAGAGTAGGCCTATTGTTGAATTGTGACACTGGTAAAGCAGTTGGTCGCGAAGTTTCTTTTTGTCACCTATGATCAACCTCCCTTTGTATCTCAATATCCCTTGTTGTAGGGAAAAAAGCGTTATGGTGTTAGGAGAAACTATTAGTTTTGATAGCAGTTGTTGGGTGAAGGGATCATTGGAGAAACTGTCACTTATTTCCACCATCCAAGCAGACATGGATATAGAGAGGGTGTAGAAGATTTCTGCTTCAGAGTCAGGGGCATCCCTCCTTGAAAGAGCATCTGCTACCTTGTTGGACGACCCTTGTTTGTATCGAGTGGTGTAATTCATGTTGTACCATGGAGGAAACTTTTTGATCTAACAAGTACTTTAAACTACGCTGATCCATTCTGATGACGAATGAGGTTCCATCTAAATAGTGCTGCCATTGTCCTACGTCATAGAGAACGACCATTAGCTCTTTCTTGTAGATTGACTTTGTTTGATTTTTGGGACTGAGGGCCTTGCTTATAAAGGCTATAGGTTGATTTTCTTGCATTAGGACCTCTCCAATTCCCTTGTTACTTGCATCTGTCTCAATAGTAAAAGGATCTCCGAATTGGGGCAGTTGTAGGACCAAGCTGGAAGTCATAACTGTCTTTAATGATTGAAAAGTTTGCTCTGCTTCTGGATTCCATTCAAAGACACCATTTTTTATCAAATTGGTGAGAGGTTGGACTATGATTCTTTATTTTGTATA